AACTTTGAACTTCTGGAAGACAATATTCGTACCAATTTAATGGCTTGTACAAGAGGTGTACCATACGTATTAGATATGGAAACTGAAAAGAATTGTATTTCACTCTTTAAGTTAATTAAATTTAAATTAACACTTACATGATGACGTTACAACAGGCATGAAATAATTTAAAATACTTTTCATTAAATTATCATAATAAAAAACTTCATTAGCTATAAAAAAAGAATCTCTAGCCAACCTTATCAGGATTTCTAAACAGTAAACTATAGTCTCCAGCGGAGGTTTAACAACGTTTATTATGTACCTGTAAAAATAAATAGACAAACAATAACTATTATTTAGTAAATATAGTTACAGAAGTTTACCTTATTCTTGTTAAAATTTCAGTTCTTACCAAACATTTGACCAAATTAGTTTCGGCCAGCTGTTGATCATTAACAGTCTTGTCATCCTCAGTTTCTTTAGGGTCAACAGCCAATATTGGTTGAACAATTTCAAGACCAAAAGTCAATAAATTATCCACGCAAATTTCGTCTACTACATAATAAAACAGATTTCTCATCGCCTTTACGCAAGAATTCAAAATCGATGGTGTGTTATCGTCAAGGCAAAAGCGAACCACGAAAAAGNGCGGTTTTTCATACAATAAAGCGAAAAACAAGAAATAAATAGAAGCTGCTGAATGACTTGTAATAAAACGCATTAGTTTGCACCTAACGTATACTTTGTCTGCTGGCTGGTCTTCTGGACGTAATTCATAATGAACGAGGAGTATTGTATGATATACCATCCATTGTATGTGCCCATTTCTTGCATTTTTAATGAGCGTTAAGTGCGTAAGCAAAAGTACACACCTGCGCGAAACTCTGTAAGGAATTTCATATAGTTTTTGCAACTTCAAACTATACCATCATGTTGTTAGAACTACGTTGTTCGGGCTTATACAAACATCAGATCATCCCTTGGTTTTTCTCTTTTAGTTACTGGTTCCCCTCAAACATCTGAAATCGGTATAAATAAGTTTGCCTGAATGAATTTCGGTATGAATTTTGGAAGTTTCTGTAATTGAGGATAGCGAAAGCTCAATTTTCAAATCAAATTTTCTATTTTACGTATTAGATACATTCGTATTAGGTGCAGTTTTGATTTTTCTTCCGGTACGTTCGTGGAAATTTCGGGATCCCTGACATTCCGAGACATTTCCGGTGGGTCCGGCAATAAATTTGGGTAGCACATCATGTTGAGACAATAAAAATATCTAAAGTATTCTGATTTAATTAGCAGCTTTAGATTAAGTGTAGCATAATTTTTGACGAAGTTTTCTAATGTCGTTTAATGTTTGATTCACAAGCCATTTCACTTAAAAAAAATCTGAAGTGACCACACGATTTACAGCAATAATACGCTATGGATTTTTGAGATCACAAAGGTTTAGTTTCTTTCTGGCATACGGTGGTCTAGCATAATTTGAAAAGCTTGTCCAAATTATGTGAGGTTTCTGGTATGCGATGCTCTATTGTATTAAGCAAAAAACTGGAAGCCTAACATTAAACATAGGATGATTAAAACTTTATTATCGTTGACTAACCATTAAAATCTATAACATTTGTTCAATAAAATGTATAAAGATCGTGGGACACCCTGTAGCTAGTAGCTATTCGAATTGTATAATTTTAATTAACTTTTTGAAGTTATTATTTCTTGCGGTTTTGTAGCAATCAGAGTGTGTCATTCTTTGAGAGTTACGAATTAAAATCTAAACTGAATTTCGCATGGGTTTGCTAATTGCTTTGTTTTTCTTGTAAAATTACTTTCAAATTGTTACCGTTTCTTCGATATGTAGACGTCTTTTTGTTGCTATCCTAGAATGTAATTTTGCCTTGCTCCAAAACTGATAAAAACTAAAATATTTGTAATTTTGAGATTTACTTTTGAGAATTATTGTAAACTAGTCTCTTACGTACGGTACGGATGGCAATAATTCAATAAATTTAAAAAAAATATTTTTTTTTTCGGTTTCCATGACAACATTCACCCCAATTTAATTCACGAAAAGGTGGCTCAAGTAAACTTATGAAAAAACGACCAATCACGTTACAACTACTATTTTCTGATTTTGAATAGTTAAGAACCAAAGGCAAGCGACAATATAAACGAATTCTAATTACTCATGTCCATTACAGAGTACATTAATTTCTTTTGAAAAGAAAAAGGAATGTGAATAAAAGATGCACCTTTCTCTATCTATCAGGTTCATGTTTTGATTCGACGTTTCTTATCTTGTTCGACAATCGAAGTATCTTTTCCAGCATGCGCTCGGAGCTGCACCAGGCAGTTATGAGTCAGACGCTATGATTACTATTTACCAAAGATAGAAGTTAACCTACAATTTTGTGAACGAACAAAATTAAAAATTAATGTTTTTTGATTCTTTATATGTGAAAATAAGGATATATTACCCATAGTTGTTTCAGTTATGGATAATTTATCGACAAAAATATCCTTAAAAGATTTAACAAAAATTTGTCGAATTTGCCTTACCCAAAAGACTCCAGAAAGCCTACACTATTTATTCGATAATAATTTGAATATAATGATAATGAATGTAACAAATATAAAGGTAAGGAAGTGAAAAAAAGCCCTCCTCTTTTGTAACACTATAAAATAACAGGTAGAGCAAGGAGAGAAGCTACCAAGTTTTCTCTGCAATGAATGTAATTATCAATTAAACATAGCATTTACGTTTAAAGAGAAATGTATAAAGTCTGAAAATCAGTTGAAAAGCTTTTCGTTTCCTTTATTGGACACCGAATTTACAATAGATGAGATTGATTCTAAGAAGAATGAAAATAATAAAACTGATAATGGTACTATAAAGGACGTATGTATATTGAGTGGCCTTTGTGTTTTTCTTTTTGATTTAATATTTGTAGGAAGTTGAAATAAACGACTGTGATGATGACAAAGAAATTACAAATGAAGATGATGATGATGAAAATGTCAATATCATTACAAATGAATGTAAGATTTGTAAGATATCATTTAATTCAAAGAAGGGTTTAAAATTGCATACATCAAATCATAAGAAACAACTCCAATGTACAGTTTGTGAAAAGGAGTTCCACTGTAAATAATTTTACCAATAGTTTATATCCTTTTCCTCATTTAGTTTGTTATTTTAGCATCCAAATCATTAAAAGTGCATTTACAATCACATACTGATTATAAACCATATACCTGCAAGGTGTGTAATAAATCATTTAACAAGCAAACAAGTCTGGCTAAACATAGTCGTATTCATGGTGGTGAAAAGAAACAGTTGTGTGTTAGCTGTGGGAAAAGATTTTTCGAGCATGCTGATCTTTTAGTAAGATGTTTATTAAACAGCAGAAGTAGGATTATTAATGGAAATTGTTATTTATTTGTTCTTATTAAGGTTCATATGCGTTCTCATACTGGGGAAAAGCCTATAATTTGTTGTGTATGTGGAAAACGCTTTGCAGATCCTCACAGTCTCAAGACCCACAATAAAATTCACACTGGCGAAAGGAATTATGAGTGTAAAGTTTGCGGTATACTTTCTAATCAAATCTAGTTTAACTTTTTTAATAAGCATTTTGCATTTAGGCAAAAGATTCGCACATTCTTTCGTTTTAAAAATTCACGTACGGATTCACACAGGGGAAAAACCATATGTATGCTCCGTTTGTGGGTCAGCGTACGCTACTTCGTCCTATTTAAAAATTCATACAAGAACACACACGCAAGAGAGGCCCTACAAATGCGAGTCTTGTCCTAAGGTTGAACAATATTTCCTCAAAATTAGGAAAACATTCTTTTAATTGATGATGATATTACAGGCTTTCGTGAGCCGATGTGGTTTATTAGCTCATAATATGACCCATACTGGTGAGAAGAAATTTCAATGTTCTATGTGCGGAAAAAGGGTTGCCAGAGCTGCCGATTTGGCTACCCATATGAGGTCCCATACAGGTAAATAAATTGTCATTAGTATTGAGTATAGCTTGGTTCCGACTACGTGGTTTCCTATATTTCAAGGCAACCCTACAGAATCCACTCGCTCGCGCAAATAATGTACTTGATCAAAATCTATGTAGTAGTTCTTGCAAATCAGAAACGTTTGCAGTACTTTTTCATTAAAAAGGAATATAAATGTGCTCTAAAGAAAACAATAATAAAAGTTTTAGCGTTGGTTTTAATTATTTTTGTTTCAATAGTAAAACAACTGTTTTCTTTTTATTTAAGGAGAAAAACCTTACTGTTGTGACAAATGTCCGAAAAGGTATCACACATCTAGCAATCTATCGGCTCATAGGAAAACACATTTGGGAATAAGGGACCATGTTTGTTCAATTTGTGGGGCCGCTTTTGTTTCCTCCAGGACTTTAAAGAGTCACACAAGGACTCATACAGGGGAAAAACCATACGTATGCGCATATTGCGGTAAGCGATACACACAGTCGGGACAATTAGCGGCTCATCGCAAAACTCACACAAATCAAGTGGTCACATTAACTAATAGTCAAAATATTTCGTAAGATAAACCAGAATTTTGTTTATTGAAGTTTCATTTAATTTTATTTAATTTTTTAATTTTTTTAGTCATTTTTATAAACGTGGCACTTTTCTGTACATTTAATTAAGGCTTCTGACTAAATATTTTTTACAACATTATATTAATCTTTTTAATTATTTAGATTGCTTTACGATTCATAGATAACTTTTGTGATATTACTTTTAGATACTTTGTTTGAAATTGGATTCTCGTCTTTCTGTATGTCTTACTNAGAATCCAAATTGGATGTTATTCCTTTGGTACAAACATTTGGCCACATGGAATTTGCATTAAAATATTCAGATTGGAGTAAATTAAGAGAGGTCTCCAATAGTCCTCAAGCACTTTGTCCTAGTAGAAACGGATCACTTGAACTTATTAAGCAAATTATTCAACAGGTATCTTTAACCAATACTTAAAAAACTGTTAATTTTATGCATAAAGACATATCCTATAATATAATGAAAATATTTCTATTAGTATAAAGTGATGAACACAGTAATGATGTTTTAAAGGTCATGGCCCTTCATCCGAAAGCAAAGTATCTCCACATAGGCTGCGATGAGGTGTACCATATGGGCGAGTGTGAGATTTGCAGATTAGAACTGCGTGAGAACTTATTTTTGCGTCACGTTCGCAATGTCGCCGCGATTATTCACGAAAAGTTCCCTAGTCTTCGGTTGATAATTTGGGATGATATGTTAAGACATATAAGTCAACAAAGCATGCAAGAGATCTCTTGCATGCTTTGTTGACTTATATGTCTTAACATATCATCCCAAATTATCAACCGAAGACTAGGGAACTTTTCGTGAATAATCGCGGCGACATTGCGAACGTGACGCAAAAATAAGTTCTCACGCAATTCTAATCTGCAAATCTCACACTCGCCCATATGGTACACCTCATCGCAGCCTATGTGGAGATACTTTGCTTTCGGATGAAGGGCCATGACCTTTAAAACATCACAACCTTCTATTTCAACACTACAATTTTTAATTTACACTCTGATTTGTAAAGAGATAAAGTGTTTTCTTATTTACGATATCAAGAACTATTTAAAAAGGTGCCTCAATTTAGTGGCAGTGAAATTGTACCGTAAAATATACGAGATTTTTAAAATTACGTCAAAATATTTCCTTATCATCTATTTTATGAGATAAGTTCATAAATAAATAGAAATGCATAATGTAGTTCACG